GGGGGGGGGGGGGGGGGGGGGGGGGGGGGGGGGGGGGGGGGGGGGGGGGGGGGGGGGGGGGGGGGGGGGGGGGGGGGGGGGGGGGGGGGGGGGGTTAGTTCATGCGCTTAGGAGGGATAGGTGCTCTCTCGGTGTGCCACATGGCGTGCATGGATTGGTTGTCCCAAATTTGACGTCCCACGTTTGAACTCAGTAGACCTAATTCTCATAGAATTTTCTTAAATGCGACACATGGTACACGCAAATAGGTGCTTCCCAAATGAGTTGGTGCAGGCGGGCTGTTTTGGTCTCGGGCACTGAATCAGTCGAATGTGAGTGAATGGATTGGGTTGGGTTGCTCCATGGATCTACACGTGTAGAGTCTGTCGACGCGTGTGTCGTGCTAGCCCATTTGTGCAACACTATCGTGAGTGTGACATATGTACAGTCTATCTTTGCACGTTTTGCAGATAAAATTTTCAGATTTCGATGATGTGACTATGTTATTGATGATGTTATATGATGTTATACGATGATATTACTTGATGATGTTGTATGATGATGATATGATGATGATGATGCATGATAACATGATGATTTAAGATGTATGATGATGAGATGACTTAATATGACGTTATTCCATACTAAGACAATGTGCATGTATTAATGTCATGAAGCATTATGACGATGATTTTTCTTAGATACAACCCTAGTTAATGTTAATGATAATGAACGTATGAAGGTCAAGGCATGTGTGTTACTTAGAGTAATATGTGAACGATATATAGGGTTGTGTCATAAAGATGATTGAAAGATGAAAACTACAGGTACCTCATGTAGTTTTTGTGTACATATAAATCAGGTTACTTCTCCATTTATGATTATGAGTACGAATGCGTACACTACGATGATGATAAGCATCATGCCTCGCATGACACTCAGGGGTTTGTTGACCTCCGGAGGTAGCTACGAACAGCTAGCTCGACCATGATGGGTCTAGGGGATGCGAACCTCCTGGAGATTCATGCTTGCACGTCTGGGTCGAGTGTAAGAAAGTACTACACATCCAATTTTATCCGAGCTGTTGGCCACCCCTATGAAGGTTTTATCCATACGTCCCTAAATCATGAGTTGCATGTGTTTACATTCCCTAACTTCAATAATAGAGTCACTGACTGAGTATTCTTAAAATACACGCTACTTCTATTTCAGGTAAAGGCAAAACACCAATATACGACTGACGACTACATCGTAAGTAGAGACCATGACACGTGCATAGGATAGTGGTACATTATTTTTTTTTTTTTTTTTGTCTTAGGTTAGTATATGGTGTTTTTACTTTCAATGTTTCACTTGTTTTATTTAGTATTTTCTTAGGTTGTTTTAAAGAGCTTTTAAACATGTAAGTCATGATAATGTCTTAGGATAAAATTTTAAAGATTTAATTCCCAAAAAAAACATAGGTTATGATGATGATAACGATTCTAACCTAAAATCTAGTGTTAGTCAATGTAGAGTCAAGTTTAAGGGGGAAAATCAATGCTAAAAGAGTTTCAATACAATATATATAGAAGTGTTTATATTCATATATAAATACAACATATTAAACAAGAAACATTCTCAACTCCAAAACCTAGTCAATTGGCCCATAAGTAGAACAGATCCAACCACACAATGACAAATGTCACCTCCTCTCAAACCCTAAACTACCACGTGGCATGCAACCTTTACACGTGTCAAGCAATGCTTGGATCAAACTACTCTATAAAATCACAACGAAGGGGGTTCTAAATCAACAAATACAATTTTATTCACCAAAATCCTTTCAGGTTTCCAACTATTTGTGTGCTTTTTGAATTCATCTGCAAAAGTAAATGGCAGACAGCTCTCAAAGTCTGAGCTACCAAATTGGAGAGGCTAAAGGCCAAGCACAGGTTCACTTTGCCACTGTTTTTTAAAATGATTCATGACTCATAATCATACGACTAAATATAAGATTAAGGACTAATGGATAATGTATTTATGGATGTGATTATGTAGGAGAAGGCGAGTAATTTGATGGACAAGGCAAGTGATGCAGCCCAATCAACCAAGGAATCAATACAAGAGGCAGGACAACAGATGCAAGCCAAAGCGCAAGGTGCAGTTGATGCTGTCAAAGATGCCACTGACACGAAGAAATGAAGCTTTTCTATTTACATTTCCTATTGTTTCTATGAAAGGATTTAAATTAAGTTCTTGATTATCTATTTTATTGGTTTCTTATTTCTTACTTTTGTTTTTGATAAAAATGATGTTATTCATTTTGTTTTGAGGTATTATTATGATAATACAGTCATCAATTATAATAATGCAATTTGTCCTATTGGTAGTTGCTATAACGTGAGTATTGTATATGTTGATTATAATACATTATGCAACGGTTACAAAAATATATATATTTATAAAAAAAAAAAAAAAAAAATAACCAGTTGCCGACAACCTCGAGAATTTTGGCCTCGCTGGAATTCTTGGGCAACCTCTCTCTAGGACACGCTCATCCCGCTCTCATTTTGTTGAACTACCTCGTTTGCCCACCAAAACACAAAACATAGAAATATAAAAAATGAGAGGGAAGGAAAGAGAGGGAGACGAACGATCGCGAAACAATGTGATTTTCGCTTTAGCCAATGATCCAAGCAGAGTAATAATAGGAACTAGTGTACACCAGCCAAAAAGATAAACATGTAATGAGTATTTAAAAATACAATAAGTAATTTCATTGTTGAGGTTAGAAAAAGAAACTACATATCATGAGTATTTAAAAATACAAGTGATCCCATAGTTGAGGTCAGCATAGTATTTATTTACATGATCCCATTGTTGAGGTCAGCATAGTATTTATTTACACTATTCAGGTAAACGCATGACCACCAAGACAAACTCAGGGCTAAAACACTCACGGTAGAAAACAAACAAACAGGAAAAGAACATGAATAATAATGTGGTAATGGAAAAGAACCTCGAGTTTGTAATATGCTTGAAAATAATCTATGATCATATGACATATAATATACCTGTGGTCTTACATTAAAAATAATTATTCAGTGAGATGATGCATATGATATTCTATTAATTAAGAAAATCGAGCTTAAAGTCTATTCATAGAATCAACATAACTTAACTATAGTGCCACATGATATGCTACTCATTCATCCATCAATTTCATCTAATCTAACCTATAAGTATTTCAACAATAAACTCACTTACAATTTTAGGCTTAACGTGTTTCTAATCTCATCTTAGTGGGTCATTTTTTATTTACGAATGAAATTTAGACTTACATATGATATTCCATTAATTAAGAAAACCAAGCTTAAATATTCCATTAATTAAGAAAACCGAGCTTAAAGTCTATTCATAGAATCCGAAATAGTCAAATGAGCGAACTAAATCTAAACTGAACGTAAAAGTCAATCAAAGATTACTTTTTTTATTCACTTTGACCATATCACTGAGTCTCTCAACTCGTAGTCAAAGAGAGAACTATTGCATATATCTATATATGATTATGAGTTTCTTAAAGAGTATATATATGGCAAGGTAATCCTAATACATGTAAATACTAACAAGCGTTTTTCTTCGTTTCTTGTTGGACGCATCATAAAACAAATAGAAATCAACTTAAATTACATTTTTAGACGTAATTTTTATATAATTATAAAATGAATTTTCTTTACTCTATTATAGTAGAGACAAAAAAAAAAAAAAAAAAAAAAAAACTTGACAATCA